TCTGTTTTGTGCAGTTCAAAACTGTAATCAGGGGCCAGCCCCGTGGTCGAGTGGTTAAGTTCACGCGCTCCACTTTGGTGGCCCAGGGTTTCACCCGTTTGGATCCAGGGCACAGACATGGCACTGCTCATCAGGCCATGCTGAGGCTGCGTTCCACATGCCACAACTAGAAGGACTCACAACTAAAAATACACAACTAGGTACTGGGGAGCTTTGGGGAGAAAAAGAAAAAAAATTAAAAATCTTAAAAAAAAAACTAATCATATAATCTTTACAGAATTTTAAGCATTATATCAAACAATTTTTATAAAAACTCTTTTAAGAGGTCCAGAATCTTTAGTATATCCAGCATTCAATAGGTTAACTCTACTGATTTCTATAGTGTTTTTAAGGGGTTGGGGGCAAGGATCAGGATAGTTATCAGGGTCGGGACAAATTCCTGTATGAAAAAGGACATTCCTCTTGCAATGCTGAAAACCAGAACAGCCAGAAAAGCAGGGCTGCGTCTGCCTCTGGCCCTCTGCCCATCGGCTTCAGCATATGTTTTAAGGCTTGTGCTATGTTACCTCAGCCATGAGCTATTTTTTTCCAAAGGAAGCTAAAATAAATTTGAAAAAAATAGGCCAGCTTTCCAAAGTGGCCTCTCCTGGGCTTTCGGTGCACACTGTGTAAATAAAAGATTTGCTTCACAGCTCCCGAGAAGAGAAAATGTAAATAGGAACCAGCTGCGTCTCTCCAAGAGCGGAGGGACACCTGATTTTATTCATTCCGGTCGTTACCAGAAAGTGTGTGGAGCCCCCGATACCGGCGGCAGTGGTTCCCAAACTTTGCCCAGCGTTGGAATCACCTCAGGATTGTTAACAAATACTGATGCTTTCTCCCTACCTCCAGATATTCTGATTTAATTGGCATAAAGAGTAACCCGGGCATCAAGATATTTTAAAGCTCCCCTAAGTGATTCTAACACTCAGCCAAGTTTGAGAACCACTGCCTTTTTGGCCAGTTTGGTAAGAACCAACAGAGACTAAACAACTCTTGTCTAAAAGGTGAATTCTACCCAGCTCCACTGTCAGAATCTCCAGACTCATTCTCATTCAAGAGCAGGCTCTGACCCTTACTCAGCTGTGCCCCCTTGGGTACATCACTTAACCTCTCTGAGCCTTAGTTCCCTCATGAGCAGAATGGGAATAATAGTGCTTATTTCACAGAGCTCTGTGAAGATTAAATGACATATGGATATAGTATGTCTAGCACATTTGTAGGTGCTTTCAATTGTTTCTGATATAACATTTCAATTCAGAATCCACTAAATTTCAAGTCTTTCAAATAAACAATTTCTTCGTAAAAAGAAAAGAAGGAAATCTATACCATTTATACTTTCAAAAATTGTCATTTCTCTTGTTTCTACTCCATGCTCACTGAGCAATCTTCTGATTACGATTGGCTTCTATATACGAAGGCTTCGTCCATTCACTCATTCGGCAAATATTTCCTGAGAGCCTGCTATGTGTCAGGCTTTTTTCTAGGCATGGGAGTACATCAGAAAACAAGAAATATTTCTAAGGGAGGGAGACAAACAATAAACTTAAATAAATTATATGATATGGCAGAAAGTTGTAACCACTATGGGTAAAAATAAAGCAGAAAAGGTGGGTGGGGGGGATGGGGGGGTCTATTTTAAATGAGAGAAACTGTCCTAATCATAGATGTTATGATCCACAAGATAGTAGTCTTTTAATGGATTGCAGTCTAATTTTCTTTAAGCTGCAGTAAACCCGTTCTCTATTATGGGTTGATATGTCAAGATAGTGAATAAAATTACTTTTAATGCACTTCATACTTTTTAAATTCAAACACTATTTTTATTATGGGTAATTGATTCCTGAGCAAAAAGCAACCTAACAAGATGATGCTGAGTCCCCTGTTTCAAATTGTCTTAGGTTGGGTTCCCTCCAAAGCAGATCCTGAGAGAAGGATTTGAGGTTGAGTAGTTTAACTGGGAGGTGACCCCAGGAAGCACCCTAACGGAATAGGTCCATGAGGCCTGGAAGGGAAAGAAGCTAATACGAAGTGGGTTAATGAGCCGGCTTCAGCTGTGGGCAACTGGGGCTCCGTCCCACCGAGGACCTCTGGGAAACTGTGTGGAAGATGTTTAAGGAAGTGAGGTGTTGACCTACCAATTTTGCCCATCATTGGTTGAGCGCTTCTCTATGAGCATATCAGGAACAGGGAAGCATGAGGGTGGGGGATCAGCAATGTCTGCTACACTAGAGCAAAACTTCTTATTTATTTTTTACTCTCCTAATTCAGAATTTTTAATACAGTATGTAAACAGAGACTAACTCTGGTTTTCCTTTTCTCAAATAAGCTGTCCACATTATGATATCATATCATGGATAAGATTGTGGGAAGAATGCTTAAACTTATTTAAAGAACAAAACTATCTTCACACATTCTCAAAAGTTTCAGAAGCCCTGATTCCCTAATGTGCTAGTGACAAATTATTATCTATTCGTTAAAGCAAGCCCTGAGACACACTAATTTGATTTAAACCCTTCAAAAATATGATGTTGCATTCTTTAGAAATAGTCTACACTAAGATTTCTTCCCTTGTGCAAAAACCCTTTTCTAACTGAATTAATTTGAAATAGAGAATGCTGTTTTTATGTTACCAAATCCAGTTGGCCTTCTCAGCAAACGGGCAACAGACGATGCTCTCTCTATACTCGTTGTGCCGTAGTGTTATTTCAGCCAGGGTGACATGGGTGTTTCACATGCTCTAACATTCTTAAAAACAAAGCACTGAAATCAGACTGTTTTTACACAGGTGATTGAAGTGAGTAGGGGCTGAAATTAGTGGATCTCTTCTCTTCTCCACCCAGCCGTTTTTGCACAGGAGCTTCTCTGCGCTTCTTTGGGACCAGATAACATGGAACCCCAGTGGTGAGGCAAGAGTGAGCTTATGATATCAGGAAGAAAGATGCTCAGGAAGTCACTTAGATAAATGCAAGGGTGGAAATTGGGACATCAGCAAAGCTTAAGGCAATGTTGTTGTTCATGGACTGTAGTCAGGTGTACCCAGATTCAAGCCCGGGTCTACTACTTACTAGCCACATGATCTTTGGCATATTACTTTGTCTCTGTATGCTTCAGTTTCTTCACCTGTAAAACGGGGGTGAAAGAGGACTGCCTCGAAAGGTTGTTGTGAAGAGTAAGAGAGGTCATGCAGTTGTGGGTACAACAGTTTTGGTTTCCCATTCTTCCGTTTTCAGTGTCGGTCTTTCTCAAGTTGGGTTTCCAGCCCACTGTATCAGATCGCTTAGGCCATCGGAGTCTAAATAGAATGAAACCCCAGAACCTACATCTTCTAACAAGCTCTTGGGCAATCCCATGTGCACTGACCTCGAACCCCAAGGTGAGGGAGAGCAGGGCAGTGTCAGGGAAAAGTGTGAGGTTAGGTGTGCCTGGCAAGGGAACACACCCTCCTCCCTGCTGATATTTTCATAATCTGCTTCGTACCAGTTTAGAGAAATCTTGTCTCAAATTCAAGCCTCAGTTTACTTGCTTCTAATATGGTAATAAAGATAGATATTCCCCTCCAAAAAAAAAAAAAAAAAAGAGGTCATGCATTTTGGAGCACAAAGCACAGCCCTGGCACACAATAAGCACACAGGACAGGCAGCTCAGCCAAGAGGTCTGGGCAGTAGACTAGAGGTGACAGGGCTCAGTATGGTGGTCACCACACTGAGCTTTGGCAGCCACTGCGTCTGCAGAGGCCCTGGACTTTGAAGGCCTCTCTTCTTAGGCCATCAAGTACCCTCCAGATCCCCTGGTCTCTTAGTGCAGACACTGGGCACTAGGGACCTCACCTGGTTAAGGGGATGGTTGATTTCTCTGAGACAGAACAAGGCTACATCAGTGTCATGTCTGAAGACAGGTCTTGTCTTTCAGATAGTGCAGGAAGCAGAAACTTGGCAAGACTAGAGTCCGAATTCCACCTCTGTTATTTCCTGTGTGGCCTCCACCATGTCACTTTGCCTCTCTGAGCCTTAGCTTCCTCATCTCTAAGTTGATGATAATACCCACTTGCAGACAACAATGTATGTAAAGGGTATCACAGAGCAGGTGCTTCAGTGACACATGGCATCCTCTGGCCACACTTGAGGCCCATCGGAGAGTGTTTACATCCAGGGGAGTTTTACTAGCCCAAGTTCTAAGGTTCGCCATGCAAACCTTGAAATGAGGCCCAGATCACCTCCTCGCTTGAGTTCTTACACACTCCCTACCAGACTGGGCAGAAGACTTACACGAAACCACATTTTGGGACTGACTTAAAATCGCTTATTTGGTAATTGGGTCTTTTAAGTATCTGCCATTCTGATTCAGTTCTTGACCTGACAATGCTCCTCAGTTTGGAAGAACCACCGCTAACCAGAAATGAGCCAGTGTAAGGATTGGAGGTACCCACCTACCACCCCTAACCAGAAATGACCCAGTGTAAGGATTGGAGGTACCCACCTACCACCCTAACCAGAAATGACAGTGTAAGGATTGGAGGTGCCCACCTACCACCCTAACCAGAAATGACCCAGTGTAAGAACTGTAGGTACCCACCTACCACCCATAACCAGAAATGAGTGAGTGTAAGGATTGTAGGTACCCACCTACCACCCTAACCAGAAATGACAGTGTAAGGATTGTAGGTACCCACCTATCCAGTGAACTGAATCCAAACTGTTCTCCACCAGGACATCAAACTGTAGTTATTTGTGTGTGGGGATAATGGCTCCTTGACACCTACCAGCCTGGTCCTGTAGCCTGGAGTCTTATCCCCACCCACCCTCCCCACAAATATGCACACCACCTCCTTAGGGACACCACCTTGCAAGTGCTCGGTAAGTCCAATATTTGTTTATGGTTTCAAACTTAAGTGCAGTCTTTAAAAAGAGACTCAGTGATATTTTTATGAGTGTTTAATATGGGTTTCTTGACTTTTCCAGGGAAAACAGAAGCCTATTTGGAAGCCATCAGAAAAAATATCGAATGGTTGAAGAAACACGACAAAAAAGGAAATAAAGAAGGTAAGGATTTAGTGTGATTATAAATTACAGACTTCACCCATTTGTTAGTGGCTCTTGTTAAAGATTCCCACAGTCAAGTTGGGCTGAAGTCTCCTCTCAGAGCCCAAAAGACTCCAGGCAACTGTCAGATGCAGAAGGGAACAGAACCTCCATTTCTCTTATTTTTCACCTCAGCCTTTCAAGCAAAGGCATTGTCTTTTCTTTCCTAGTTTATTATGAAAACGTCAAGCAAAAGTAGAGAGAATAGTATAACGAATCCCCATGTATCCATCACCCACCTTCAATAATTATTAACACTTTGCCAATCTTGCTCTGTCTACCTTCCCCCCTGGTCTTGGAATATATTAAACAAAGGCATTTCTGAGCACATATTAGGTGCACCTTGCAGTCACTCACTTCCTTAAAACAAAACACAGAACTGGCTCTGTTCTGAGTACAGAAGTGACAAGGACAATAAGATGCAGCCCCCCACACTCCCTACCAAGTTGCTCACAGCATCAGTAAAGCTACAGTCAGCCCTGTTCAGTGCTATCATAGATAAGTGTGATGGGGAGAGAAGGGGGCACATCTCCTTACAGGGACAGAGACCACTGGGCAAAAGAGCCACCGGAAAGCCTTTGCTGGAAAGGTAAGTGAGGAGAGATGGAGGCAGAGGGAACACTGGGTGCAAAGACATAAAGGGACAAAAGAGAGTGACACAGTCTGAGAACTCGAGCCATTCAGTTTCCCAGGAACACTGGGCGTCTGTGGGGAGGACCAACAGACAGGGCTGGGAAGGTGGGCAGCCATTCAGGAAGAGGCTTGCATACCCTTCAAAGGAGGTTAGTTTTAGCCAGAGGAGCCTAAATTAGGGCTTAATTAACTTAAGAACTGAGAAATCTATCTGGCAGCAGTGTAGTTACAGATTGAAAAAATAAGACCCAGAGGTCGGGAGAGAGAGAAGAGGCAAGGGTCTTGTGCAGAAATGATGGGGCTTAGGGCCGGCCCGGTGGCACAGCGGTTAAGTTTGCACGTTCCGCTTGTCAGTGGCCCGGGGTTCGCTGGTTCGAATCCCCAGTGCGGACATGACACAGCTTGGCACGCTATGCTGTGGTAGGCGCCCCACATATAAAGTAGAGGAAGATGGGCATGGATGTTAGTTCAGGGCCAGGCTTCCTCAGCAAAAAGAGGAGGACTGGCAGTAGTTAGCTCAGGGCTAATCTTCCTCAAAAGAAAAAAAAAGACAAAAAAGAAATATGGGGCTTAAACCAAGGCAAGGCAGAGAAAATAAAGAAGAAGAGAGAAACCCAAGAGCTGCGTGGAGAGAGAAGATTCCAGTATGATTCCCTGGTGTCTGGCCAGAGCAGTTGCAAAGCGATCCTTTCAGAATGAGACAAGCAGTGCTTTTCAACTTTGAAAGTGCATTCACATCGCCTATGGAGCTTCTAAATATCTTGATGCCCGCAGGACCACTAAATTCAACTTGAGGGGCAGGACCCAGGCGTCAGTAGTTTTAACCCCCCCCCCCCCCCCGAGTCCATTGTGCAGCCAGGTTTGAGAACCGCTCTGAGACAAGAGCATAGTGCGAGGAAGATGTATTTTCAGCATCCCTGTAGCCTGTGATCATGTAAGTTGAGCGAGATGCAAACAGTTAACAGGTCTTCACACATACTTCATTTTATTTGATTCAAAATGATGTGACTTTCCAGGCTGTCAGCTCCATTAAAATTCACATGAGCTGTATTTCATCAAATCTGTCATTGATTGAAAAATGCGCCATTGTTTCAGGTACCACTAAGGAAGAAAAGTTATAGCAAACCATCAATGACTGCAAAGACTTTAAAAAAATGTTTCTGTTAGAGTCCATGTAATACAGTGTGTACCAAAATGCATTCGTAAATCCTATGGTCCAACAGTTTGATATTTATGTTATTTCTTTCACTGATCAACATATGAATCAGACTCCTGGTCGTAACCAGCAACATACTGCAATTCAATCTTCTAGTTCCAGAAACGACCATCTAGTGAAGCATGGAGCTCTGGTGCTCGCATATCAAAGGCTCTGTGAGCAGACTTCAGAATGACAATATTGGAGTCGATGCCACCTTCCGCCTCCAGGAAGTGAGGGTGACAGGCAATACACTCTCTTGAAGTCAGAAACAGCTTTTCCTCCACTGCCTTCACAGGTGTTCTGCTTGACTGGGGTCATCTCTCAAAGCCTGTGGGGATCTAGGTCCTAGGGCCATGCAGTGGCTGCAGCTGTGTGGGCAGGAAGTGTGTTAGTTCTGACCTTCCTTAACCTCTGCTGATGCCCTTTGTTTGACAGGGAACTGAGTGACCTGAATCTCCTTCCCAAAGCCAGGAAAGGGAGGTCCATGTGACGTGATAGTGAGGACAATGATTAAATCTTATGTGGCCTTAAAACAGAAGTTTGTAATGTAAAATAAAGTGAATCACAGGCCTTGTCTCTTCTGAGCCTTACAATCTTAAAATCTCTTTTAAGGTTAGCAGGGTGGCCACTGACTTGTGTACCCTAACAGCCCGCTAAGGCAGAGCTGGGAAAGACTCCAGCAGCCTTTCCGCTGCACCATGCTGGTTTTCCCACGGCACACACTGACAGCTATGTCATAAAAATACAGTTTTTCCATTTCAAAAGAAAGCAAAACATTTTCCTGTTTGTCCATTCAAATCACCTGGACCTCTTCACGTCTGTCCTTGGGAGTCTGCCTTTTGTCCCGTTAAAAGTGTTGACCCTGCATCCGATTCTGAAGAGCCAATATTAATCTGAACCAGAGATAATCAAGACGCGCCTCTTTCTGCCCCTGAGTCAGTCAGGAATCAGCTCGTGCGGTGCACACAAAATGTCCGTTCAGCCTGATTCTCTATTTTGTGCCTGAGGGAAAGGGAAAGTCAACAAAACAAAACAAGACACCCAAGTGCTTATTGAACCTGTGCTCTGCACTTGTCAGATGCTTCACACACCCTACCTGGAGGCCACAGAGTGGTCAAAGAAGTGACTCCAGGCGCACCTGGGTTCAGAACCTGACTCTGCCACGACCCGAGCAAGTGACTTACCTCCTCTGTCCTGTTTCTTCGTCTCTGAAATGGGGATACCAATGCTTAGCCCATGGGGTTTTGGGAGGAGCAGATAAGATGATGGCTGTAATGGGCTCGATGCTGGGAGGTGCCTCTTTACTTCTCAGGGCCGTGCCATAATGAGGAGCCAGTGCCCTCCTTGGTGCAGAGGAAACAAGCACTCTCTAAGCAGCAGCTCACCTTTATATGCTAAACACCTGGTGCCTGTAGAGGTCCTTCATGCTTGGTTTTCCTTTCATGCAGGGGCTTAAAGATGCCCAAGTGACCCAGATTCAGATTACATTCAGGCTGGCTATAGGTGGCCGTGGAATGCTCTGAGATTTTGCACTTCACTCTCCCCTTTCTCTACTCTTTACAAACCGATAGGAGGGAGGGTTCTGTTCCAGGGGCTTCCAACAGCCAACATGAATGGCACCATCCTCAAAGAACTCAGCCTCGGGCATCTCACAATCTGCAGGGGTCTACCCACTTACTCTATGGCACAGAAGACCTACATGTCAGACCGTGTGGGATGAGAGTCATAAATTGTGGCACCTCCATAGGATGCATTGTACGTAGCCATTAAAAATGGTGTTTCTGAAGAATATTAATGCTCACTGTGTAAACTTAATGAAAGGAGCTAGTTATATGTTGCATATACACTATGATCTCAGTTCTGGGTTGAGATAGATACATTGAAAAGCTAAAAGAACAAAATATCAGCTGTAGTTATCTATGATTAAGAGAATTCAGGTAATTTAAATTTTACTTTCATGTTTCTGTGTTTTCTATTTTTTAAAATGATAAGCATATAATACTTACAGCCTCAAGGGAAGATGTGGGTGCTTTTTTTTTTAAAGCCTCCAGAAAGATGCCACTAGCAGCCTCCTTACTTGGGGATCTCTTTGTTTTTGGTGGGTGGTTTGACGGTTTACATGAATTTTTTGTTTAAGTAGAACAGAGGAACCATAAAGAGCTTATGGTTTGGCTTTTTACTCCAAGCATACAATTCAAACAGCATGAAAATCAAGATAATTCTTAATATGAAAATAAAAAGTGGGTTGTCACATCAACATGGACTTAACCAGCATAACAAGTTCAGGAAGTCAAAACACTGGTTCTGATTGTAACTTTTACTACCTGTGTGACCTTGAACAAGCCACTTAAGTCTTAGGATCTTGTTATCCAAGTGTGATTCCTGGACCAGCAGCATCACCATCTCCTGGGAGCTTGTTTAAAATGCAGAATCTGGGGCCCCACCTCAGACCTACTGAATACAAATCCACAACCTCCCAAGAGCCCCAGGTGATTGGTATAAACATTAAAGTTTTCATAGGGACGGCCTGGTGGTGCAGCAGTTAAGTTCGCACGTTCCACTTCGGCGGCCCGGGGTTCGCCAGTTCGGATCCCAGGTGCGGACATAGCACCGCTTGGCAAGCCATGCTGTGGCAAGCGTCCTCCATATAAAGTAGAGGAAGATGGGCATAGTTGTTAGCTCAGGGCCAGTCTTCCTCAGCAAAAAGAGGAGGATTGGCAGCAGATGTTAGCTCAGGGCTAATCTTCCTCAAATAAATAGTTTTTGAAGCCCTGGTCTATGAGCCTGTTTCCTCTGTGGTCAAATGAGGTGGTACTCCCCACCTGAACACCTCACAGGGTTGTGGTGAAGAGCAGGTGAGGTAATATAATGTAAGTAAACATGGTTTGAAACTGCAAAGTACTGTGCAAAGGTCAAGAACTAAAATGTTCCAATGCGAAAGAAAATAGACGGCAGTCATGTTGTGCAAAGTGCTTCCTAGCCAATGGTAATCACTGTAACGGGATTGTTCTTTCCTGATCTTTGCTCACGATACTCTACTGATATTTTCCAGATTATGACCTTTCAAAGATGAGGGACTTCATCAACCAACAAGCGGAAGCCTACGTGGAGAAAGGCATCCTTGATAAAGAAGAAGCTGATGCCATCAAGCGTATTTACAGCAGCCTGTAAAAGTGGCAAAAGATCCAGGAGTCTTTCGACCGTTTCAGAAAACATAATATAGCTGAAAACACTTCTAATTCTGTGATTAAAGTTATTTTGACCCAAGGATTATTAGAAAGTGCTGGATTTACAGTAGTTAACCTTTTAGAAGTGGTTAAAACATAGCTTTCTTGCCATAAAAACTATCTGAAAAGTAAAGTATGTAAGCTAAGAGTTGTATATAGAATCCTTATTTCCTTATAGATTTATAGTCAGAGATACGTTGCTTTGGAAAAGCCTATAATGGGCTGAACTTAAAACTGAAACTCCTGCTGTGTTACACTCACAAGCACCCCCTGAAGAATTGCAGGGTTCTGTTTTCGAGGCATGCTGGGTAACAAAGCACCTCATAGAATATCTCTGTTACAAGATGTTGTTTTCCCTACCAGTTCCATTTGGGGAGTTAAAATAAATTCACCTTTCGTCAAAGCCTCTAGAGCTTAAAGGATAGCTATCTGCTTTGTTGACCGCTCCTGCCGGCTCTTTATCAGGCCCAATGGCACAAAAAGGAAGCTGAAAAATGGGCATAGGATTTGCTGGATTTATTAACAATTTTCCCTGACTCTTAACATTTTCTATTAGTGAGTTTTCAGACATTGAGCTTGTTTAAGAGGGATACCCATGTACTCTCCCAGAAGCAAAATGAGATCATAAACACTACATAAAGCAGGGTAAAATTATATGCCAGGTCTGTTATCTACACTGAATTTGATCCAGACTGAGGTTGGGCAAAAGGGCCAGGCAGGAGGGTAGAAGTAGAGAAAAAATCATTCGCTTCTCTGTGAACCAAAGCTGGGAGTTGAGCGTCCCTGAAAGGAAAGGTAAATGAACTTTGGGACCCTGCAACTCCTCTCCCTCAGCCAACCACAAACACAGCCCTGGGAACAACACAGCGGCCCAAGGTTCCCCTGAAATGTTAATGGGCAATGTTCCCAGACCAAAGAATGCTTTGAAAATGTATTATTCAGTGTAAATTAATTACGCAAACATTTTTCTATATATTTCAGTTGGAAATTTTAAAAATTATAATGCTTTGTATATTAGACGTCACTACTTCCAGGGGCCTTCGGATTCCTGTCTCGAATGCCCCCACCTGGTACTCACTTCTTGATGAGGGCTGGGGGACTTACAGAGAAGCTGTCAGAGGCTGTCTTCACGGGGAGGAGACCACTGCTGCTCCTCCCGGTCCCTCTGGAGTGGCAGACACAAAAACCAAAGCCTGACACACACAAACTAAGCTCACTTAGGATGTTCTAGAGCAGCCAGTACTCACTGGTGAGCAGTGAGAGGGAACTAAAACACCTGTGCCCGAACTGCACCTGTCAGAGCGCCGTGAGTCAGACTGTTTAACGAGTTATCTTTGCTAACGAGACCGACTCCACTTCACTCATGTCCTGTTCTTCAAACAGGCTGCTTCTACATCAGAGAGAAAAAACTGGGGATGACTAAAGCAGTTTATCCATTCGCTTTTAATTTATCTAAATATCTATAGTATTTTTTAAAATAAGAAATTTACTTAGGGAGTTTATTGTAGCTTTCTGAGCATACTGACATTCATTGGCTCCTACTGATACCCAGGACAAGAGGGAGGGAGATCATCTGTCCTGTTTTATAAATAAGGAAACTGGGTTTGCAAAAAGGACGGGGCACAGAACATGCTCCAACTTGGGTGGCCAAGAAGTGGCAAAGCCGGGACTAGAACCCAGGGTTCTGGTCTCACAGCCCACGCCACCACAGTTATTTTAGGCGCAAGTACTCTAGTCCAGGACAGTTCAACAGTGGCCACGACAAATTCAAAGTCTTTCATAACAAAGAAAGGGAGAGATGTTTGGGCTAGAAATTGCTGAGAGAGATCTTAGGCACAAATAAAATATTCAGAAAAGTGTTTTTGACATTGTGGTCTTAATTTCAAATTTGAGCTTATGTCTTTGGGATAGAGTTTTTGGATTACTCTCAAATTTCAGATTATTTTATGTGAAACCACATGATAACTACTTTTTTTTTTTTGAGGAAGATTAGCCCTGAGCTAACATCTGCCACCAATCCTCTTTTTTTTTTTGCTGAGGAAGACTGGCCCTGAGCTGACATTCGTGCCCATCTTCCTCTACTTTATATGTGGGACGCCTACCACAGCATGGCTTGCCAAGTGGTGCCATGTCTGTGCCCGGGATCTGAACTGGTGAACCCCAGGCCGCCAAAGCGGAACATGTGCATTTAACCACTGCGCCACGGGGCCAGCCCCACTAACTACATTTTTTAAAGTTCCTGGGCCTCCACAGAAGCTTGGGCCTTTGCTTACATACATAACTGTTTCACTTCCTTTATTTTTTTCTTTTCGTTTTTTAGTTCAGTGGAAACTCCCCATAGTTCAGGTGTAGTGGAAACAAGAAAACAGCAAAGCATGATCAAGAGTTCACCCTGTATGAAAGATGATAATAACATGAGCAATAAAACCATGAGATCTTATTATCATGAAAAGAAAACAAAACACAAGGGATTATGTACATTATAAACAAACAAGAAATTCAAGACAAGGCAAACAGCTACTGTTTCCCATCCGTGCACCAGTTGGTTAGCCTCAGCGGCTGAATCTGTGGGGTTCCGGGTCTGCAAGCTCTGCCACCTTGACACCCAAGCACACTAGTTTCCCACTTAATGGGAGACCTGCAGGAGCAAGATAGGGAGGAGAAGAGAGGGGGAGAGAAGAAGGGAAACAAAGGTCCTTTCTGCTCCACAGAAAGCAGACTCCTTTGGCGATGTTGGGGAGGGATAAATATGGAGAATTTCTGTGGAAGCTTAAAGATTTATTTAACCTGGCACTTGAACAGAAATTGAGACTAAAAAAATTTAATTGTAAGTAATATATCGCTGCCGTAATGTTTCTTGCTGTAACCTATACATATAATAAAAGTAAGACAAATCAAATTATGTGAATAAAAACCTAACCCTCAATTCAAATGAGCACAGTGACTACAAAACACCATAAAGTGGCTTAATGAAATCTAAACTAGAATTCACCACTGTGTCAGATCGCGGTATTGCTTATTTCTTCTTTTGATCATATTCCATGTTTTCTCTACGTCTGAAACACATCAGGTCAAATATTATGAAAATGCAAAAGTTACTAGTAACCAAAATTGATTTTCTTTTAGATTACTGAAACTTTTTTCAAAATTACAATTATAATAATAAAAACCATTAAAATGGAGAAGCTGTCACTATTTCAAAAATATAATTTAAAAATAAATTTTATTTTCCCATTGGTTGAAAGAAATTGAAGACTCAAATATGAAAACATAGTTTATTTTCTCATTCAGGCTTTTATAGTTTATTTTTACAAAATAGCAGACAAAATTTGGTTCTTTATATTAATACAGAATATGTAATATATATCGAAATATATATATAGCACTTAAGTTATAAACACATAGCAAAATCAGCATCACTTAAACAGCAACCATGTTTTTCACATAATTAGGATTTCTCAGGAGATAAACATTGTTTTTAGCTTGAATATGTAAATAGTCTTTGATGCTTTATGTCAACTAGTGTTTACAAAAGCTAGTCTAAAACTACCACCACCCACAAAAGTGATGAGCTTTAGGAGACAATTCTGCTATCATGCCATAACAAAGACTCAACATTACAGAAAGGCAGAAGGAGCTAACCACTTCAGTGCAATTGCAGTAGGCGGAACTACTTAACAGAGATTTAAAGATGGACGCTATGAGACTCCAAAGGGATGCTCTTGAATCTTCAGTTGTTAGTTTCTTTATGATCCAACCATCTCTTAACCCAGGTTAGACTGTGCCCCCAATCATCTAACTGTGATAGAGGGAAGCTGCATAGGGACTTTCTTCATCTCTGAAAAAAAGAAATACAACATAAATCAGTGTTTAGATACTGTATTCAGGAAACTAACACATATACTTATTATACAACTTAGTATCCACGTGCCAAAGCAGTGCAGGAATGTATCAACTTACAATATGGTGCACGCCTTGAAAGTTATATGAAATGCATATACTCATTAAGGTGTACCTTACTGTCTCCATTCTATTGGTGCCTCAGTTACTGGAATAAAGTATGGTACTTGTTATACATTTATATTTTATATGACATTTAAATAAAGTATATTAAATTAAGAAATGATTGTATTCATCTTTATATTTGTTTATATGTTTTATAGTCCACCTCTTCCTCAAAAGGATTTGAGGTGCCTACCACAAAGGGCATACATATAATAAAAGGAATAAAATAGAAATAAAAAATCAGGACTAAGGAAAGGAGAAGGATACAAATATATTAACTAAAAGAAATATTCTAGTACTATAGTTGAATGGAGCATCAGTTGCAAGCTTCCTGGTAGACAGGTCAAAAAAAGATAACAGTAGGTTGTGCCATTCTTAGAATCATAAAGGAGGAAGGAAATCAATTTTACAGGGGAGAGAAAGGTTTGCCTTAACACCAACTTAAAGAACAAAGAAAAGAAAAAAGCTCACATGAGATCTTATGTAGGAAACACCCGGTAACAAATAATGAACAATGTCTTTGACAAATTTTATAAGGATCAATATTTTACAAGTATTCTCTATGGCACTGCTTCCTTTGAGGGGGTCAACTAGACGTCTCTGCTTGGCTGCTCTCTAGAATTGCTAACTAGACAGTTACGCTACTAAGGCAAAGAAGCAAACTTTTCATAATAAATAACAGAGACAAAAACATCGAGACAGATAAAGCCTTATGTGGAATGCAGTAGCTCTGTTTAGACTTCATATATTAAAAATGCCTTTCTAGAATTAAAATATAGGTTTTTTTCCTTCGTCATCTCCCCAAAGCCCCCTAGTACATAGCTGTATATTCTGGTTGTGAGCGCCTCTGGTTGTGCTGTGTGGGATGCCGCCTCAGCGTGGCCTGACAAGCGGTGCCACGTCCGTGCCCAGGATCCAAACCCCCAAAACCCTGGGCCACTGAAGTGGAGTGCACGAACTTAACCACTCGGCCATGGGGCTGGCCCCTAAAACATAGTTTTTAAAGCAAAGAAAAAAATTTGGCCACACAAGGACATCTTACGAGTAATTTATTCTGCTTCTGACATTATACCAGCGTATTCTTACCTGCTCTCTTCTTTTAGTCTCTTGGCTGCCTGTGTTGATAACTTAATCTGCAAGTCTAGTCTGTGCAGGAAATCTCTGGCCGACACTTCCTCAGGCTGCACAGGCTGAACGTCGGATTCCTGAGGACTGGGAGGAGAGAGGTCTTCCCCAGCTGCTACTGGCTCTTCTTCAGGAGAAAAACTATCAACAGTTTCCTTTTCTGGAGAATCTATTGAGTTAAGTCCATTAAACAACAAAGGCTTCTCTGATATAACTGGGATGTTCAAAGTCTTCTTCAGAAATATACAATCATTGGTAAACAGTTTATTTGCCCTTTTAATCTGCTCCATCTAAAATACAGAAAAGGAAACACAGAGTTACATATAAATAAACCCAGAAGCAGGGCTTATTACACAACACAGAGAAATATTTATGAGCAAAATGTGTGCAATGCTTTCTTTCGGTTCAAGATTCTTAATTCAGGTTTAGCCACCTCCCCAGATATTTCAAGAGATGTCAGAAAATTATGTTTCCGAATTTAAAAAAAAGAAAGACTAAGTTTTCCCCTCTATATTATTTCCCCTACACGGCAGCTTTTACCAAGCAGCCTTAAATCTCCAAAGTTAAAAAACGCAGAATTTTTAGCACTCGTTTAATAAAGTCCATTCTTATTTTAACATTTCTATTAACTGATTTTTTTACAAACTTACTAGAGCTGCTATTTTACTTATGGAGTGCTTCCTGTGTCTCTAGAACAGTGTTTGGAAAACACAATGGACACAGGAGGTGATCCAGAGTAAGTACAATGAGAATTTGGAAGAATGGCGTAGACCGGGGCTGCAGTCATTAAGAAAGCCCTCTTGGAGAAGGTGAGGTTCTGATTTTGATTCTTTTGAATTTAGATGGGCTTCAAAGAATGAGTAGAAATGGGACAGGGAAGGAAAGGAGGTGGGGAGCACTTTACACACAATAGCTCATTTTTGCTACCCTATGGAGTAGGTATTTGAAGATCCACTTCACAAATAAAAGAAACAAAACTCATAGAGATTATGTACCACGGAATCATCATACAACTAGCCAAGGAAGAAGCTGGAATTTAATACAGGTTTCTATAACCTCAAACTCCAACCACAGAGAAGGGGAGGGGAGGTGGAGGGGAAAGAGGGAATAGAATTTACATCCATTATCTCATTTAACCTCCATGACAGTTCTGCAATGTCGATTTCATCATCCAGTTTTTACAAATAAAGAAACAGACTGGAGGAGTTAAGTGGCATGTCTAAGTCCATAATGCTGGTAAGTGCAGACAGGACTCAAACTCGGCCGGTTTGGAGCGTGTTTGAGAAATGCCTGCTCCTGTGTTCATCACACCGTACTAAAATATAGCTGCAGACTTTACCCAACTAGCCTGGGAACTCACACATGCTAGGCTCTTTATGTGCACTATCCCATCTAAATTCTTTCCTGTGAGGTACGTAACCGAGACAGTTTGGTACAATAGCCAAGCGCATAGGTTGGGAATCTGACAGACCTGCTTCATGTCCCAGCTCCACCCACATGAACTGTCTGAACATGACCTTGTTACTTCTCTCGATTGAGCCTGTTTGCTCATGTGTAAAAAAGGTATTATTTACCCTTCAGAGGGTTGTCGGAAGGATTAAAATGAGAGTTTATACACACACACGTATAGAGGAGATAGATAGATAGACAGTCAGACAGACAGACAGCTAGAGCTATCGGATATACGTGAGAGAGAATATTTAGCAGAGGACCTG